ACCTTTTTCTAATTCTCAATAGTGTAAACATTGGTCCAGCTCACTGCACTCCATGTCAGAAGTGGGGCTTGTACGTTTGTGCAAGTGGATTTACTATGAAATTAATGAAGCATGAGCTTTACTACCACAAGGCCCTTGATTTAGTTTTGTGTTCATAATTCTGTAGTATTTTGCTTTAGGAAGGCTCCCAAACTGGTAAACTTCAGGTTCCAAAGACCTGGATCCAACTGTAGCAAAAAACACATGATCTTAGCCAAAAGGCTGAGAAGCGAGGTAGCAAAAAACAAAGTCACTGAAGCAAAGGGATAAATATTCTTCCCCCTAGTAAGCCTCAGAGCCCATACTTGATGGTCATCTTTCAGAAATATTTACATGCAGGTTGAAAGAAAGACTGGATACATGAAGTTTTTGCCCTGTCTAGGATTCTAGGTCCTAAAGCCCCATCCCCACTGATCTTTTTTTAACCCTAAAGATTTATTTGTTTATTTTAGAGAAAGAGAGCATAAGCAAGGCAAGGGGCAGAGGGAGAAGGAGAGAGATAATCTCAAGCAGATTCCCAGCTAAGCACAGAGTCCAACACGAGGCTCCATCCCAAAACCCCTACCATGACCTGGGCCAGAATCAAGAGTCAGATGTCCAAATGACTGAGCCACCCAGGTGCCACCCCTCCCTGCACTGGCATTTCTCAAATGCAGATCAACTCGGATCTGGAACTCCCCCCTGAAAAAGGACAGATAAGGAAGTTAAAAGGCAAAGATGGCTATTTGTCACATTTTTGTGTGGGCTTCCAAAAGCCATACTCCTTCCATTATCACAACACTTTCATTTGCCAACATCCTAGTCAGTACCCAAGGAATACTCGAATTGGCTGCTAAGATCCTAAGTGATTTAGGAAAAAGCTGATTGTGCAGGAGAATGTCTTCAAAGGTAATATCCTTGAACTCACATTTTCCTTTAGCTATGAAGTGTCCAAGTGCCCAGGTTTGGGGTTTTGTTTTCCTTTTTGTTTCTTAACCAAAAGCCAACTATCAAGAGCAGCTTATTCTGTTTGAAAGTAGCATAATCAACTGCAGACTTTTGAAAATTGGGCTGCAAGTTCCTATCTGCCTTTAGATAACCTAAAAGAGGCAAACAACGGCACTTTGATTTTCAAAGAAGAGGTGTTCACTCTTCATTAAGAGTCGGTAAAATCCAGGGAGACTTGCTAATTAAAGACCCGTTGGGGAAATCTGCGGAGCACTTTTGAAATATGCGACTGTCACAGCTGCCCTCTGATGAGGCTTGGGTTCCAATCTGTGCCTCTCCAGCAGCCTGTGCGACCATCGCTGCCAGGTGGCATCAGCCTCCTCACAGCGTCCTCCTCCTGTCTGCCATGAGGGAATAAAGCCGCATCTCCCTGGGAAGCTTCCACCGGTGGCTCAGAAGAAATCTGTCTGCAGAGAAGAGATGGCAAGCGTCCTTGGAAATGTGAATTATTGCTGCCATCAGCACATCGCTTCCTCTCTGTATTGAACCTTTGACATTGAAACGGGTTGCTTATACGTAGTTACAATGTTTGTCATTTGCCTTGGGCTTGCTGAAGTAGGGAGAATCAAAGCTAGTTGTACCTGGCTTTTAGGAAGCAGAAAATCTTTGTACATAAACTTCGAGAAAAGGAAATTGGCAAACCGATGCTCGAGAAAGTTGCCCGAAAATGTTTGCAATCACCAATTTATTTATTTTAAGAACGTGCCATCAGAGATTACTATTCTAACTGAACTGAGGCTAAAACTTAAAAAAATAAAAAAAAAAAAAGCAACCATGTTTGCTGCTCCCAAGAAAAGTAGACAATCCTTGGTTTAAGGGTAAGTATACCCCTCAGAGAAAGAATAAAGAAAGCAAAGGAAAGGAAAAATGTTAAGAGCATCTGTTAACTTGGGCCTGCATCCTTTGTGCTCAGGGACAACTGTGCTGACGAACGAGAATTTATGGATTTAAGTCATTTGTGCCGATAGAGCTCTGCATAAAGCTGTGGGTGCAATTGGTGACTGCAAAACCAGCCGTTTTGCAAGAAAACATTTTTTTCACCTTCAGAAGATCCTCAAAGATTTCCCATCAACCTTTAACTATTAAATAATCTATATCTGACTTTTTTCTTCTCAGACCATTGGGAAGACATTGAGGAGATCCTTGATCAATTTATATCCCAACCTTGTATGACATTAAGGAAGAAATTTTTAATTGCTCCAAAAAATCATATTTTAAGGAACTGACTTGCTTATACTATGATGGTAAGAATTTATAAAGCAGAGACCCAGGAAATTTAAGAGAAATCCCCTACCCCTGGACAAGCAGAGCAGGACTAACTCCATTTTGTGCTACACCCACCACCTCCTGTGTGACCCCCACATGACCTGCTTATTGCTTAAGGCGCTGCCCCAGCCTAGTCAAGCCGCTGGGCACACCTAATCGGAAATCGACTCATAACAATGTAACCCCGCCTTGTGCCCGCCAAAACTGAGCGCTGATTCTGACCACAGTGCTAGGCCAGCTCAAATGGATGCTATAGGGTAAGATGTAATTCAATTGGCCACCTGCGTGTGGACCGACATGACTGTGCAACTTTCTGCGTATCCCATTGTCCCCTGGCCCCTATAAAGCTGCTACGCCTCTTAGTCTCGGGGTCCAAGTCCCTGCCTCGCTGTGTCGGGTACACCTGGACCCAGGCTCGAGCTTGTAAATAAACCCTCGTGTGTTTGCATCGGTGTCGGCTCCTTGGTGGTTTCTCGGATTCGCAATCTTGGGCACAACATTTGGGGGCTCGTCTGGGATCCGAGAAACCCCCAGGACCCCATCCAGAGGTTTTTTTTTTTTAATTTTTTATTTATTTATGATATCACAGAGAGAGAGAGAGAGAGAGAGAGAGAGAGAGAGAGAGAGAGAGAGAGGCAGAGACACAGGCAGAGGGAGAAGCAGGCTCCATGCACCGGGAGCCCGACGTGGGACTCGATCCCGGGTCTCCAGGATCGCGCCCTGGGCCAAAGGCAGGCGCCGAACCGCTGCGCCACCCAGGGATCCCCATCCAGAGGGTTTTACACGTGGTGAGTGCACTCAACTTTTTCCACCTTTTGCACGCATATTCCCTGAGAGCTCTAAACTGTACCGCACCTGTAGGAATTCCAATCTGTATTGGGTCGGCATTGGCTTAAGTGGACGCGCTGGCGGGCCGTCGACCGGGGGTCTTGAGGAGACGTCCCTTGCCCCTGCCTAGAGGACAGGGTCCTCATCTGTAAGGAGGACAGGGTCCTCGTCTGTAAGGAGGGCCGGCTGCCAGCCCTTCGGGTTACTTTCTGTTCCGTCTCCGCGGCCGCATTGGAACGTTTGTCTCTGTTCCCGTGTTCTTGTTACCTGTTTTGTTGCGTACTGCTCTGTGCTACTATGTCCTTGCTAACTGTGCATTTGTCTGTGTTGTTGGGTCCTTGTTAATCGTCTTTACTGTCTGTGTCTTGGTGTGGATTGGGGATATTATAGGGGAAACAGAAACCACTCCCCTGTCTCTTATGCTCTCCCACTTCTCGGATGTTAGGGAAAGAGCTCGTATTCTGAGCATAGACATACGGAGAGAGAGATTCCAAATTTATTGTATATCAGAATGGCCAACCTTTGGCGTGGGATGGCCCCGAGAAGGAACTTTCCACCTACCTATTATCTTACAGGTTAAGGCCCTGATCTTCAGGGACAAACCAGACGGCCACTCTGACCAGGTTCCCTACATCCTGATCTGGCAGGACATGATCAAGAATCCCCCTCCTTGGCTAAAACTATTTTTACCCCCCAAAGCAGGACCCACCGAGATTCTAGCCCTGCGGAAAGCCGAGAAGGAAACCGACTCTACGCCCCAAGCGCCCCTTTATCCGGTCTTCTAGGATTCCTCCCCGGAGGACCTGATTCTCCTGCACCCCCTCCCCCTTCTGCCCCTCCATTGGAGGCACCGGGGGTTGCAGAAGGGGCGTCCCCCCTCACTGACGAGGGAGTCCCTGTGCGCGGGCCAGCAGCGAGGACACGCGGTGGGACCCACTGGTCAGCCCCACCTCCGAATGCGGGGCCTGCGGACTCCACCGCCCTTCCTCTCTGTGCCATGCCCCCCCCCCCGACGAGACTGGCGAGCAGCTAATGTTATATTGGCCATTCTCCACCAGTGATTTATATAATTGGAAAACCCAAAATGCAAAGTTCTCTGATAATCCGAGAGATCTAATCGGGCTTTTAGATTCTGTTCTCTTTACCCACCATCCTACTTGGGATGACTGCCAACAGCTCTTGCAGGTTCTCTTCACCACCGAGGAGAGAGAACAAATTCAGGTGGAAGCCCGGAAGTCTGTCCTGGTAGAGGACAGACAGCCGCCTCAAAACCCAGACCTCATAAACGCTGCCTTCCCTTTATCCCGCCCCACCTGGGACTACAACTCAGCTGAAGGTAAGGAGAGACTCCAGGTCTGCCTCCAGACTCTAATGGCAGGTCTCCAGGCTGCTGCCAGCAAGCCTCCCGATCTGGCCAAGGTCTATGATGTGAGGCAGGGTAAGGATGAGAGTCCAGCAGCCTTCTTAGCGAGAGTCATAGAGCCTTTTAGGCAGTACACCCCTATGAACCCAGAAGCCCTGGAAACAAAGGCCGCAATTATCATGGCTTTTGTTAACCAGGCCGTGCCGGACATTAAAATTACAGAGTAGAGAGACTGGGAGAAAAGAGCTTGCAGGACTTAGTGATAATAGCAGAATGATTCTATAATAGAAAAAGTCCAGAAGAACTGCATGTTACCACCCCACATGCTATTAAAGGGGTACTCAAACAGCCCCCAGACCGCTGGATCAGCAATGCCCGTCTGACCCATTATCAGGGCCTACTGCTAAACCCTACCAGATTTTTATTTAAGCCACCGACAACCCGAAATCCAGCAACGCTACTCCCTAACCCAGACTGGGACTCCCCTCTACATGACTGTCAAGACATTTTGGCAGAGGTGCACGGAATCAGAGCTGATCTCCAGGACCAGCCACTGCCAAACGCGGACGCCACCTGGTACACGGAGGGCAGCAGTTTTGTCCGAGAAGGAGTCAGATATGCGGGGGCAGCCGTAACCACAGAGACGGAGACCGTCTGGGCAGGGGCATTGACAGCCTGAACGTTGGCAAAATGGGCAGAACTGACCACACTGGCCAAGGGGCTGACCGTGGGGGAAGGTAAACGAATCAACATCTACACCGACAGCAGGTACGCCCTCGCCACCGCTCACGTCCACGGAGCCCTTTACAGGGAGAGAGGGCTCCTGACAGCAGAGGGAAAGGCTGTTAAAAACAAAACGGAGATCCTTGAACTCCTGAGGGCCCTCTGGCTGCCCAAGGCCCTAGCCATCATCCACTGTCCGGGGCACCAAAAGGCAGACACGCCAGTAGCCAGGGGAAACCGGTGAGCCGATTGACAAGCAAAAGAGGCGGCCCTTCTGGTGACGCAGGTCTTAGCAACCACGCGACCTGATCCGGGGGCACCGACCCTGCCTGACACCCCCAACTATACTGATGCTGACTTACACTGGACCAAACGCTTGCCTATGACCAGTGCTTGCGTGGCTGGTGGAGGGCTGCAGACTCCAGCGTCATCTTGCCAGAGGAACTAGGACTGCGAGTCCTATCCCAAATGCATCCGAGTACTCACATGGGGACAAGGAAGATGGAAGACCTCATACGACATGCAAAGATCACTATTAAAGACTCTCGAGCAAAGATCGAGCAGATTGTGGCAAGCTGCCATGCATGCCAGTTAACTAATGCCAATGCCCATGGATCTAACCCGGGCACCTGGCTCCGGGGGGACCGCCCAGGAGCCTATTGGGAAGTGGACTTCACTGAGGTAAAACCTGGAAAATACGGATACAGGTACTTACTAGTGTTTGTAGATACTTTTTCAGGATGGACAGAGGCATTTCCCACCAAACATGAAACGGCACAGACGGTGACCAAGAAACTGCTGGATGTCTATCTTACCGAGGTATGGTTTTCCTGTTAGAATTGGATCAGACAACGGCCCAGGATTCGTCTCTAAGGTAACACAGGGAGTGGCAATAGTACTTGGGAAGATTGGAAATTACATTGTGCGTATAGGCCCCAGAGCTCAGGACAGAGGATGAGGATGAACAGAACATTAAAGGAGACCTTAACTAAATTAGCCCTGGAGACTGGCGGGGACTGGGTGACTCTCCTCCCCTTCGCCCTATATAGGGTGAGGAACTCCCCATATAAGACGGGACTGACTCTCTACGAGATCATGTTCATCATGTTCGGTCTTCCTCCACCTATTATCCCCAATTTAAAACCTGAGGTGCTTGCTGAATTTGATGATCACCAACTTTTCTTCTCCCTCCAAATGTTACAACGAACCCACGAGCAGGTGTGGCCTAAGCTGAGGGCCCTCTATGAGACTGGGCCACCCCCAGACCCCCATTGATATCGGCCAGGTCACTGGGTATAGTACGGAGATACCAACACCAGACACTTCAACCTCGCTGGAAGGGACCTTACATCGTGACCCTGACCACTCCCACCGCTCTCAAGGTCGACGGGATTACTCCTTGGGTCCACTACACCCACGTCCGGCCAGCTGACCCACACGCCGTTCTCAAGGACTTTGTTCCAGAATGGAAAAGCCAACCGGACAAGGACAATCCCCTAAAGCTAAGACTGTGCCGTTCTCATTTATTTCCCACCTCCAAGACTCCCTAGTCTGAGGTTGTCTTTCAAAATAGAAGGGGATTAGACTTAGTTTTACAACAAAGGGGGGGTGGTTATGTACTGCCTTAAACGTAGGATGTTGCTTCTTTGCTGGAATGTAAATGGGAGTGAGAACAGCAACAAGGTTGGTTAGAATCCTGGTTTAATCATTCCCCCTGGCTCACTCTGAGAGCAACCTGGATCCATGATTGGGTCCTGCATAGGATCCTCTGAAAAAGGGGGGAATGTGGAACCCAGGAAATTTAAGAGAAATCCCCTACCCCTGGACAAGCAGAGCAGGACTAACTCCATTTTGTGCTACACCCACCACCTCCTGTATCACCCCCACATGACCTGCTTATTGCTTAAGGCGCTGCCCCACCCTAGTCAAGCCACTGGGCACACCCTAATTGGAAATCGGCTCATAACAATGTAACCCTGCCTTGTGCCCGCCAAAACTGTGCACCAATTCTGACCAAAGTACTAAGCCAGCTCAAATGGATACTATAGGGTAAGATGTAATTCAATTGGCCACCTGCGTGTGGACCAACATGACTGTGCAACTTTCTGTGTATCCCATTGGCCCCTGGCCCCTATAAAGCTGCTACGCCTCTTAGTCTCGGGGTCCAAGTCCCTGCTCTGCTGTGTCGGGTATACTTGGACTCAAGCTCCAGCTTGTAAATAAACCCTCATGTGTTTGCATCGGTGTTGGCTCCTTGGTGGTTTCTCAGATTCGCGGTCTTGGGCACAACACTGGGTAGCCTGGGTAGTGATCCTGGGGCCTGGGATGGAGTCCCACATTGGGCTCCCAGCAGGGAGCCTGCTTCTCCCTCTGCCTGTGTCTCTGCCTCTCTCTGTGTCTCTCATGAATAAATAAATAAAATAATTAACAGAAAAAAAAGTTATAAAGCAGAATAGATATGGCAGATTTCTATCTACAATACTGCTCTCTACCCATAATATGGAACATGAGGAAAATATTAAAAAAAAAAAAATAAAGCTAGTCCTTCGGAAGAAAGCTTAAACAGCCATGTCATAAAGTCATTTTTCTATCATTAGTTCTGCATCAACTCTCCCAAAACAACCTTATTTTGTTTTTCTTCACATATTTTCTTTCTTTGACTTGAGATTTTTTTTTTTTTTACATGGCGGAGAAAGAAATTTGACACAAGTGCAATATAATAAAGAATAATTAGTTTCCATGGCTATGCTCTGTTTTAACTTTCATACCTCTGACATAGTCTTCAGCACGTATAATGCAGTTAACACATAGAACTGATCTTTCTCTACAGGGCTGGGACTGAGGAGAGGGTGAAAATCAGGGTCATAGGCACTCTCAGGGCCACACCAGCACACTTGAACTTTGCTTCCTTGCTGCCTGCCTTTACTTGCCTCACCTGAGCCCCAGCCTAGAGGGATCCCCATCCAACAGTACAGCCTGTCTTCTAAATTCACATCCAAAAGCTGTTATTTTGTCTAACGCCAATTGTCTGGTGATAGTTACTTCTTCACTCTCCAACCAGGTGAAGGAGAATGATGATGGGAGGACTCTCTTCTCAAATTCTAAGTGTAGACTAAGAATCACACAAGTAATTTCTATTTTATGTAGACAGAAAACTCATGCTATTTTTACTCAGACCAGTTTCTTCTTGATTGTGTGTGGAGATGATCTTGCATGCCTACTACTGTATGCTCCTGCTTTCTTAATGACTTTGGGGGATTATATATGGTTGATGACAAAAACCAAAACTTTGACCATGAGATTCATGATCACTTTTTCTCAGAATTGTGATTAAAGCAAATGACAAGAGCATGGCTTTTAAAGCCCTCTACATTCTTACAAATTCTTTCATGGCTTAATTTTAATGTTGAAACATACTTTTTAGACTTACCTCTATATCGAATTCTCTCAGGCAAGTGATGATTCTCTTGCGCTTTGTGTTACCTGAATAGTGATGAGATATGAAAAGATAAAAATCTTTTGCTATAACAAGATGTTAAGTAATCCTGAGGGGTGCCTGGGTGGCACAGTTGGTTAAGTAGCTGACTTTTGGTTTTGACTCAGGGTATGATCTCATGGTGGTGAGATCAAGCCCCATTTTGCACTCAGGGAGGAGTCTGCTTGAGATTCTCTCTCTCTCTCCCTCTCCCTCTGCCCTTCCCAATCATGTGCTCTCTTACTGTCTCTTAAATAAATAAATAAATTTTCCAAAAAAGATGTTAAGTAATATTGAGAGCATTTAGCAAATATGACAGTCTTAAGATATTGTGTTTGATTTTAATAATACCTATCAAATTATGATTTGAAAATTTATTGCTGGAGCGCCTGGGTGGCTCAGTGGTTGATCGTCTGCCTTTGGCTCTGGTCATGATCCCAGTGTCCTGGAATTGAGTTCTACCTTGGGCTCCCAACAGGGAGTCTTCTTCTCCGTCTGCCTATGTCTCTGCCTCTCTCTCTCTGTGTCTCTTATGAATGAATAAATAAAATCTTAAAAAAGAAAAGAAAAGAAAAGAAAAAAATGTATTGCTAACATCACTGTAAAGTCATAGAGGGACCTTTAGCAACTGCTTATCTGATAAGTTATCATTGCTTTTCAATCAAAGCATAAGGGCTCGGTCAAAGACTGAAATGTAAATTATGATTTCTTGGGATGATTCATTAGAAAAGGATTCTGTGGAGAGGAATGCTTGAAAGTTCATTTCCGAGGCATTTCAGAAAGACTAAGTAGAGAAGTAATGGACTATTTTTAGATGGGGAAGAATGTAGATTTGTACTTCACAATAGTGGGACTGACAATCCCCAGCCAGCATGTGTCTTTTCTCTAGTTTTGAGATATCTGAGTGTCCACCGCCTTTTCTTTTTCTGAAGAATCCACCTGGCTAATCTTTCCTTTTCACCACATCACGTTCCTCCTTAGCACGTTCAGGGAATGCTGCTAACATACAGCAGCTGAGCATTCATTCTGCTTTGGCTGGAGCTTGAAGGGATAGAGGCTGAAAGAAATTGTCAGCAGTGCACACAGGATCCCAGCATGGAAGGTGAGAGAAGAAAGGCCTCTTCATGCTCAGCCGGTTGACTCAGTGCTTGTCACATCAGGCTGCAGGGAGGCGAGTTGAAGTGCTGTCCTGGTTCCTGACTTCAGCCTTTCCCTCGGGTGGAAGCTTCTGGAAGTTTCCCCAGCAGAAGCATAGACTCTCTGGAGACCCTGATGATCTAAACTGTAGAAAGCACTATCCATCAGAGAGATGAACAAGCCCTGCTTGTTGAGGGTAAATCTAGCAGAAGATTCACCTTTTTTTTTTCCTCTGAAGACCCTTTCAAAACCTTCTCTGGTAGCTGGAAAGCAGTAAATTAGGGCAGCAGGATCAGAACGTGGAAGGCTCTGGCAGGCAGGGCAGGCTGAGTTACTGTCTTCTGTAACCTTCCCGCCTGCCCAGGAGTCATACATAATGGAGAAACAGGTAAATAAGAATTAAATACCTGAGGTCTCTTTTTTCTTCTGTCCTTTGATTACACCGCTATTTTATTTATGGTTCTCCAAAGAGAAGCAAACTGCCCTCATGTGCCATTGCTTTTGTAAATTGTTAAAGAATCACAAAAATGAAATACTTCACAGCAGGTTTTTCTCTATTGCCTCTTTCCTGCTGTACTGACCCTTTAAAGTGATGGTTTCCATGCACATGCTCCTCCCTCCACAGCCACCCTCTCCCCCCACCTCCCAATAACACTGGCCTTCGTTTCACTGTATCTTATTTACCAAAGGAGATCAAATGGGTCTCAAGGTGATGCTGAGGTTGGTGTAGTGTTCACCAGCCCTGTCTGTATTTGCTCTGTATGATATCGTTCTGTGTCTCAGGGACAGTATTTAAGGTAGGCTGACCACATGCTTTGTGTTGTGTTTGCATGAGAATTGGGTAAGCAAACAGAGAAAAGGCAAGCAGGTTCGGTTTGGATTTTAAGACTATATTCTCAGTGGCTTGAGTGGGAGCCTAGTGATGAGAAAATGCAGATCTGAATTACCTGTGCGGTCTCTCAAGGTTTCACGTTTCTTTGCCCAAACAGGTAACATTTGGCAATAAGGCTGTCTCGCTCTGAATCTACTTGGAAATTTCTAGCATTTGGTTTTTTCCGATGAACAAAATTTCAGGATTTTTTTTTGAATCTCACTTATATCCTCCACCAAGAACCCTAAGAGATTGGGGATCCAGGTTTTCCTTTCATGTTATCTTCCAGCAGGAGGGAATTTTTTTTTTTAATAGAAAGGATTTGGAGTGTGAATAACGGGTTAGATGATTTCAAGAAGAAACCAACATGATACTCAAAGGATGAAGCCTTCATCCAATAATTCTTAACGGATTTAAGGGGGAAATACAGTGGGAAATGAAATCTGCTGCAAATGACAGGCAGGATTCCTTTCTGACTCAAGTTAGTTACCGAAGTTTCTGATTTTCTGCCCTTAGAGTTTTGGGAGGGACGCCATTCCACCAGAACAGAGTAAGGCATGCTTGAGGAAGAATGAAAGCCCAAACTACAATGCAAGCAACACTGAGAAGGCACTAAGGGGTATTTTACTCATGGGGATACAACTCTAGGGATTCAGAGTCAGGAAAATCGCTAATTTCTCTCACATTTATTCACTGAATTCACTTCAAGCTCTACAATCTGCTGAATAGGAAACCCCGGAGCTTGTTTCTCCTCAGTGAGTCTGTGTCCTGTGTGTTCTCATGGTGTGTGCACTGTAGTTTTTGTAGGTGGTCTCAACTTTATGCCATATATTACTACATAATTACATGTATGTATATTCCAGTGAACTATATTATGCGGGGTTTCTACTCGTATCACATATACACATAACCATATACTAAAATCATGTCCTAGATGGGTTGTTGAAGAGATTTCAGAAGTACTTCTGGCTCTATTTAATTTACCCACAGACTCGACAAATTAATCTCCATGAATGATCACTGTCATCATTATGCTGCCTTAAGTTTGAGTGTCTAAGCTCAGACAAATAACAGCTTCAGTAACAGAAAGATCTTGCAGTTGCATATATGCAAAGTATGTCAGAGAGTTTTGAGGAATCCCAGATAATGAGAGGAAGGCCAGAAGAGTGGGTAACAGAAAAAGGTACCAATCTGCAAAAGGAGGATCAAGATATATTCCAGAAATTCAAAATGATAAACCTCATTTGACAGTGATCTCCAGCAAGAGAAAACAATTTTAAAATATTTAAGTAACTTGGGAACATTTAGGAAATGACTACTGTCAGCCAGCATGGTTACTTTAAGAATAGCTCATAATGAGCAAAGTTAATTTCATTTTTCAACCATACTATTCACCTGTTTTTAAAGAAAAGCCATCAAGATGGTATATATTAATTTTGTGACATTCTAGTGGGAAAACAATGAAGGGTAACATTAATTCATAAATCACATCAAATTGGAGGGTGCTTTGAGTTGGAATATTTCACTACTATGCCCTTATACATCTTGTTCAACAGTTTTCTTTAACATCTTGGAGGAAGTACAGAACCATCAAATCTTATTTGTTAATTACAGAAAGCTGAACAGAAGAGCAAATTCAGACAATTAGTGTTACCAAAAGAATCCTCAGAAGCTGAATTTGAAGATCAAAGCTAATAAAATTTCATTTGATAAGGAAAAATGTAAAGTTCCTCACTGAGGTCCATAATTTAACTCTGCATGCACAGAATTAGGAGGATCTGTTCTAAACACAGATTTTGGGGAAAGAACTGGATTTACTTTGATTGCAATTGTAACATGAGTCAATCACGTTCTATCTCTACTACTAAAACAACAGCAATGCTTGGTTATGTTTCCAGTCTCCAAGAAAATTTTAGTATATATGCTGCTGAAGCAAGCACTCCAGTCCATTTTGTGTGAAAATTCATTTTCACACAAAAACTCATATACAAATGTTTGTGGCAACTTTATTTATAATTTTCAAAACTTAGAAGCAACCAAGATATCCTTCAATAAGCACATAAGTGGATAAACACATTGTTGTACATCCAAATAATGGACTATTATTGTGCACTCAAAGGAAGTGAACTATGAGGTCATAAAAAGACATGGAGAAAATGTACTTGCATATTGCTAATTGGAAGAATCCAGTCTGAAAATACTGCATACTGTGTGATTCAAACTCTATTGTTCTGGAAAGGGCAAAAGTGAGGAGACAGTAAACAGTAGGTTAGCAGTTGCCAGGGGTGAGGGAATAAGGAAGGATGAATAGACAGAACACAGAATATGGTAGGACACATTCTGTACAATATTATAGCAGTGGATACATTCATTATATGTTTGTGGGAGCCCGATGTGGGACTCGATTCCGGGACTCCAGGATCATGCCCTGGACTGAAGGTGGCGCTAAACCACTGAGCCACCCAGGCTGCCCAAGTTTATTAGTTAAAAAAAAAAACCACAACACTGAGATCTTAAAATCCCTGTTGGCCATGTGGCAGCCATGACACAGTGGTCATTTGGTCATTGCTGTTCATCTCATAGCACTTCACATGATCTACGTTAATACGAGACTCCTCATATTAACTTTAAAATATCTTCAAAATGATTACACCCTGATTCAGCTTTGAAACAAAGGTATTACAGATGTGAACAACACAGAAGCAGAGCAATGATGTTAGTGAAGCATATAATTGCCATTGGAGTAATGACCAAAAATCTCTATTTTCTTGAGAGTCCAGGAGCTGGGAACATGAAGTTGTGATTCATTTTATTCCTGAGATAGGCACAAAAGGACTATCACAGGGCAAATAATGTCTATAAGAGAAACTAATAAATCTTGAGACTAAATCAAAGAAATTTTATGCCATGAGGAAAAGCTGATGTGACAGTGTCATGTGACTTAAAATCCAAAACCAAGTCTAGCCAATAGGAAGGGCTAACAAAAGCCAAAGATTCTTTAAGATGCCTCGAAATTTTACTGTCAATACTCAAGGAACTGAGAAAGAGATCTTAGAGCATAAACAAGTTTAAAAGCCCTTACAGTAAGTAATAGTATTAGTAATAGTAAAATTCTAAGTAATTAGAAAGTAACAGAATAGTTTAATAAGCAGTATTTTTTCCATATTGATAATGTATCGATAATGCTGATGAATCTTATAATCAATAGTGTCTTGGGGGGCAGGAGTATGCTCTTACCCACTTACAGAGTTCATCCATTCATTGATGATAAAACTCTATGGTCCTTTAGAACAATGACGAGTGAAGTAGCTGGTTAGCACTCCCCTCAATGATGTGAAGTTGAATGTAAAACAGGGTCAAAGAAGTGCATATGCAAAGTCTACACAGGACAATAAAAGAGCCTTATGTGTGGACTTTACTGAAGCCAATCAGTAGAGACAGCCTAATTCAAGGAGATAACTTGGTGCCCCTGGATCAGGTGGGGCAGACCAGTATTACATCTATTAAACCTAATGTTCTAGAACTTGTGCGCCTGAGTCTGCACCCTGTAAAGCAATATGATTCGTTAAAAGAGCCTAAAATCCTGATTTGGGAGGCATGAACTTTGTTTTCAACCAGCTTGGTAGTTACACGGCACCCTAGTCTAAGGTAACTAGTCCAAGCACCTTCACTGCTAGAGTAGCCTCTTGAATCTTCTACCTGTGTCCAGTTTTCTATTCCCCATGCTTTCACAGTGCAGGTGCACCCATAGCGCAGGTGCACCCACAGTGCAGGGTTTACACATCTGAATCATTTTCTATAGCTCTTCAGAAAAATCTAGAACTCCATCCAGGCTTGATCCTGCCCACCTCTCCAACCACATCTACCGTGTGTTTGTGTTCTTGGCTGCAGACATTTCTAGGTTCTTTTGGCTCCTTATTGGAGCATGTTCCCATTCATTGCCAGTTTCCCTGCCTGGTATCTGCTTACCCTTTTTACTTGTTCGGTAAGCTCCTATTCATTCTTCAGCAGCCAGCTGCATTGTTACTTCTTTACAGAAGCCTTTCCCAGCCTCTCTGAATAGATCAAGTTTATTACTTATCACACATACCTATCACAGTATTTCCATGGCTCCCTCCTTTGCTTAACATGGTTAAATTTTTTTACTTATTTGTGTGAACTTTTTAAATAATTGTTTTATCTGCTCCTTCCACCACCCCCCTAACTAAATTGCAAGCTCCAAGAATACAGGGAGTATCTTTCTACTCCCCAGTGTACTCTCTAGCATTAATTCTGTATCACGCAGATGCTCAGTAAATATTAAATCAGGGGATCCCTGAGTGGCTCAGCAGTTTAGCACCTGCCTTCTGCCCAGGGCATGATCCTGGAGTCCCGGGATGGAGTCCCACGTCAGGCTCCCTGCTTGGAGCCTGCTTCTCCCTCTACCTCTGTCTCTGCCTCTCTCTCTCTCTGTCTCTCATGAATATATAAATAAAATATTAAAAAAAATTAAATCAACTAATGTTAAGTGAATACATCTCCATATTTCTTCTCTGTTTTTTGTTTTTTTAAATTTTTTATTTATTCATGAGAGACACACAGAGAGAGAGAGAGAGAAGCAGAGGGAGAAGTAGGCTCCATGCAGGGAGACTGATGTGGGACTCAATCCCTGGACTCCAGGATCACGCCCCGGGCCGAAGGCAGGCGCTAAACCTCTGAGCCACCCAGGGATCCCCTCTTCTCTGTTTTTTGTAACCACTTTTCATAAATCCTAGGAGTTGGTAGTGCTAATCAAATATAATGTTTGACAAACAAAAAGCAGAAACAGACCCATAAATACAAAGTGATGGTTGTCAGAGGTGAGGGGGGTGGGAGGATGGGCAAAATGGTGGCGGGAGGGTGGGAAGTTCAGACTTCCAGTTATGGAATGCATAAGTCCCGGGGATGAAAGATCCAACATAGGGAATATAGTCAATGATATTTTAAGTGTTGTGTGGTGACAGATGGTAGCTACACTTGAGGTGAGCATGGCATAAGGTATACAGAAGTTAAATCACTATGCTGTACACCTGAAACTCAAATAACATTGTGTGTCAACTATAATCAAATAATAAATTAATTAAAAATGAAACATATAATGTTTGATTATAATGTTAACAAAAGATAGTGAAA